AGAGAAGACAAAGACTTGTTAAATGCCAAGTAATTTTGCAACATGGGTAGGATAAGATTTTCCTGTCCTTGAGATAACTTCCTCTTACACATGTCAGCAAATTGTAATTTTCACCCTGGGTCCAAAGGTCTTGAGATATATCGAGATATCAGTATTGCTAACCCAGAATGTTCAAAAATAAAGAATCAGGACCCTCCCAAAATCATAGCCTTGTGGTTTTGTGCCTTTAGGATGTACTCAGGTCACACTTCCAAGGTTTCGTCCACAACAAAGAGGACTAGAAACGTACGTTTTATAATGAAAGCTGAGGTTCTCGGGTAATCACAGGATTCTAGAGCTAGGGCTTTTACAAAAGCACCAAATATTGCAAGATGAATTATAAAATCAGGAGAGCAGGCAGCCCTGGGATAAAGTGTATGGAAACTGGGATGAGTTTAAGGAGTGACAGCAGACAGTCTGGAACTGATGTGCCTGGAACTGATGTCCGTAGCAGTCGTGGACATTCAGGGTATGCTGGGCACATGGTCGCCAGATCGTGCTGTTATTTAGGACTAAGAAGATGATGAGTTAAAAGTGAAGCATTTTTGGTCAATAGTGACAGCAGATATATAGCTTTGTGCTGTGGCTGGCTACTGCGGCTGCACTAGCCAGCAATGTTTCCAAGTCCTCCAAACTGTTTATGGGCATGTGTTAGGAAAGAATCTCGGCAGGTGTTTGTTGTGCTTTTGTGGAATGAACTCCATCGCATTGGAGAAGTCAGGCACCCCTGGACTTTCATAGCAGGGACAAACAACATTTACAAAGGTCTGGCATCAAATACAGGAAAATGGAACTTAGACCAAAAGAGCACATGGAGACAAATGAGGCCCACAGCAAAGTACTTGTCGCTTGTACACAATATTATTGAATCATTAGTAATAATAGGGTATGAGCTTACTATCTCTCATATGTCATTGCTATCACCTTTACCATGTAATGGGAACCCAATGCCTATTGTGTACCAGTGAGTGTCTCCAACCTGAATTTTGCTCAGTCCACACTGCCTAGAACCAACTACCAAGGGAAGTGGTGGATTTTCCATCTCTTGATGGGTAACTGGATGAGATTTAAGGGTCTGTGTGATAGAGGAGGTTAGACTAGGTGATGAAGGCAATGTCTACACTGAAGTTAAAGACCTGCAGTTGACCTGCGTATGCTGACTTGGGCTGCAGAGCTATATAATTGCTGGGTAGATGTTTGGGCTCTACTGGCCCTGGGGTTGCAGGGCTAAATTCATTTTCACATTCCCAATGCTGCAATAGCTGGGCAGCAAACACTGCAGGGGAATGCTCACCTCCACAAAACCCTGTTTTCACTGAATTAAAAAAAAGAAATCCCACAAGTGAACTTTTTACATCTGTCGCCTCCCTCCTCCTCAGTACGGCAGAACCTGCACTTCCCAAACTCCCTGAAGAGGACTGAGTATGATGCCCTAATGTCCACAGTAATGTGACCATTGCCTTTCGCAGGTTTGCAAGAAAATGGAGGTTAAGAATTGGTTTGGATAATCTAGATCTAACTGGGCCAGAATTCTCTGCCATGGAAGTTTCTGTTAACATTTGCCCAGAAACCGCACCTTTGTTTGCCACACACCTGTGGGGTGAAACAATTCTGGTTTTATGCTGCATTTCTTCTGACTGACCTTATCAAGGGTTGATTCATTTCTAGCATAACCTGAGCAGAAACAGATGTTTACCTTCTGCTCCTTTGCCGAAGCCACGCAGCACTAGAAAGCTGGCTCAGAGGGTGCAATATTTCCAATCAGCCCCAACAGTCTATTGATTGTTTTAGTTGTAGAGCAACATATGCTCAGGCCTTATTACAAGGGATTCCTATAAATGGCACACAGGATTAATAATGTATTTATAACACAACTTTGTTTTAGTATAAAATGATCTATAAACGTGGAATAAATGTTTTATAATGTTTTTGTAGCCTGTTATAAATGATAAATGGGAGACTATAGATGCCACATCAAATATTGATACTGCATTGTGTGCATCTTTGTGCTGTTACTGTTCAGGAAGCCATTAATAATAAAGTGAATGGAGATGTAAAAGTTGCTGACATGCCCAGCAAGCCGTTTATAATGAAATGTATAATCCTTCCCATAAAGTAAATACGTTGGCTGGTGATTGTTGATGAAATGGAAACACACTGTGAATTATTTGTAAGGTATTTATATATCAATATATATTATCCATATCATGTCATAGAAATGCCATTAATATATTATATTGGCTGTATTAATTCTTTATACCTAATTTATAGGCAGCTCTTAGACAAAAGCATTATTTTGTGTCCTTTGCTGCTTTGTCAACTATACAAATACATTTCTTGTGAGTTCCTTGCTTTTCCAGCTGTTTCTTTTAAGTTGATAATGTTAATTGATGCTAACGATCACCATCCCTTCCTCCTACCTACCCCTGGTGTAACACACTGGGGCAGAGGCTCAGCTGAAGGCGTCTGACCAAGGCCCAGATTCACAAAGGGGGACTTAGGTATTGCAATGCCAAGTAGTATTGTGCCTAACTTTTACGCATGTAGAAAATCATAGGAACACCATAGTGCTCCACAAAACCTGAATTAGGTGCCTAGGCATCTCTACGCTGCCTAACCACCGAAGCCAGCATGCTATGCAGGGAGATGCCTAAACTAGCTAATGGAAGATGCCAATGCAGTGGAATGTACTAAGCCCTGTCCTCTCACCTAGGTGCCGAAGTCTGGACTGCAGGGAGGTGCCTCTCTCTGCTTGGAGCTCCACAAACAGGAACTTGTCTGCTGGAGTCAAGCTCCTAAGGCATTTCTTGTGGGAATGATTTAGGCACCTGCCTCGTGCCACATAAAATGGATGGAGTAGGAAGTGTTATAACTTTTTAGCCCACTGGTTATAGAGCAAGGTCCTGGGATTTGTGAGACCTGGGTTCAATTCCCCCCTTAGCCCGAGGAGGAGAGAGGATTTGAACAGGGATCTGCCCTGTCTCAAGAGGGTGCTCTAACCACTGAGCCAGGGGCTATTCTAATGTAGGAGGGTCCCTCAGACTCTCCTCTTGAAGCTGTTCGCATGGCTCTATACTGAAGGAGGGATTGGAGCATGTGTGTCCCCCAACCATTGGGCTGTAGAGCCATTCTCTCTCTCTGGCCCAGTGATGTAAGTATTTCAGTGGAAGATGCACTGAGAGAGAATGGCTCTGTAGTCCAGTGGTTGGGGCTAACCGTTATAGGGTGGCACCACCACTTCCTCTTCCTCCTCGGACCTGCGTTTGAACGGGACCCGATCAGGTAGGTGGCCTCTGAGCACATCCAGCCGATTGGGTCCCACATGTGACATAGGCAGCCAAATGCTTGTCTTCCCCCAGTTTGTGAATCACTCTAGGGCTGGGGCAGGAGTTAGGCATTTGGATGCCTAGAGGGAGGCAGTAGTGTGCATGCCCAAAGGCAGAAACCTAGGGAACTTTTACCCTGAAAACTTAGGTGCCAAGAGAGTTTAGGTACTGATGGGGATGGAGGGAGTTTTGTGGATCACAGTGGAGCCAAAACTGGGACTTTGGGAACTCCGTACCTTTGGGAAGGGGGATCAAGTCACTAACTGCTGACTGAGTGTAAAAAATGGCCTAAATTCAGATGCAACTACCCCTTGTAAAATTCTCTTTCAGGCGCTAGCCTTTATGTTCCTGCATCCAACAGCTCCTTCTCTTCTGGGCGCAGATTTGCTGTCAGTTGCACTCGTGTGCAGCTGTGTCTGGGAAGCAGCAAGCCCACTCTGGCTGCTGTCCCCACACACTTCTGCCTGATCTAGGCTCTGTGTTAGCAGAGAAGGCTCTGCTCATTCAGTTGTGGGGCAGCATGAGAGACGCAATGGTCCTTAATATGGGGCTGGAGCTGCTGTCTGGCATATGCATGCCTCATTCAGGTGGCTGGTTTGAGACCTCCAGGCTCAATTCGCTGTTGTGCTGAGCCTTGAGTACTCGTTTATTTACACCAGTGCAAAGGAGACAGAAGTCGTCACTTTACATCCACTCTGCACTGGCAAAAATGACAAAACAAAGGGCAGGGTAACAATGAATGGACCCTAGAGCTGTTTATCATGGCATGTTTTTACAGCATTCTATCAGCTTCCCTCCCTCTCTATTCTAGACCCTACCCCCCTAAACCCAATTGTATTGTGCAGTGGAAGCAGTAGCTTCCCAGCTCTGATATAAATTGCTTCTGTTTGCTACATCCTCTTCCCTAAATTTCCTACCCTGATCCTGCATCACCCAGTGCCGCCAGCAGCTTCCAGTTTACTAGGGTTTTGCAGGCTGACCAGGCAGCCGGGAGGCGCAGGTAGTGTTTGGAAGAGAGTGCTTGCTCTTCAACTAGAAATGTAGGCTGCCTCTACCTGTTGAACTCGCAACACTACCGCGGCAACAGCAAACGTACATGGATTTCAGCGTGCTAAGGCAATGATACACATACACTAGAGAGAGGCTGGCGCAAAGTTAAGTTTGAGCTAAAGTGTTCAGATTTGCTGCATTGGTTGAGGCTCCTTTCTGATGCACACCAGTCAAGTTTCTACAGTGGGGCTGCTCAGGGTGTGCATGTGCATTCGAACTGTGACATGCCTTTTCGTTGGAAACACGCATGGAGTGAACAGGTGTCACTCTGCTGAAAAATCAGCAGGTAGGGGATGCATAAATGTATGGGCAGATGGATTATTGTATGAACAGGGGACAGATGTGGAAACTGGCTTCAAGATTTCTTCACTCATCTAACTTGTCTTGCCACCTTTAAACCCTTAACATTGTCATCCAACCAGACAAGCGTTCAATTATGGCAAACGAGTAGAGAATGACCCTATCACCCATATGCTCTGGCTCCCCCTAGTCGATCTACCACCTGGTGCACATCAGCTATATGGCATTGCCTTCATCAGCTCTGCACCAGAGTTGGAGACAGGATAATCAAGTGAGGCTACCTACCTGTGACGGTGGCAGAAAGCTTCAAAAAGCTGGAGCATCTCCTGTGATGCTAGCTGCTTGAGCACTACTTTTCCGGCAATCACATGTGCAGGGACGTGGTGGGAAGCAGCCTGAGGACAGGACAAAGAGAAGACTCATTTAATGATTCTGACCCACCATCTGAATCGTTCCCCACATCTCTGTCTAGTTGCACAATTGCCCCGCGCAGCTTTACGGCAGAGATGTCCTCTGCACTCACGCATGAGGGAAGAGAGCAGGGATACATGTGTGGAAATCTGCCTGAGTCCTGTTAATGCGGCTCCAGAGGATAGTTCTACACTTGCCCCAAATCAGGCTAGAAAAAGCCCAGCTCAACAGCTGTGCTAGCTCTAGGATCTGGTGAGCTATCTCCCTGATCTTGCCACACCCACGGTTATGAGCCAGAGGAAAGCACCTTCCCCTGCCTAGGTCGGTTCACCTAGGCCCCGGGGGCTGGTTCTGCAGCTCCATGGTCTCCACCTGGCTTGGGCTAGGGCCTGCACCCAGCGCTCTCTGGGCGTCTCCCAGGGCAGCGAACGAGCAGAGCCAGAGAGCAGCACCCCCGCTCCCTGGCAGGGCTTGGCCTGCACAGGTGGATCAAGGTTTCCTGGGGCCCTGGGCTAGAGCAAGTGGGGGGCCCTTCCAGGAGCTCCTGCCCCCGTTCTGCTCCTTTCAAACCCTTCCCGGGGCACTGCCCCTGTTTGCCCCCCCCCCCTGCAGCCACTTCTGCGGGGGGGGCAGGTCGGGGCACTGGGGCTTCTCCCGCCCCGCCCGCTCGGCGCTTCTGCCGGGCACACGGCCGGGGGCGCTGGGCTGGAGCTCCCCCCCGGCGCTGCTGCGTGCCCCGCGACCCTGCTCACCCGCGCTGGGGCGGAGTGGGGCCGGCCCCCTGCCCCAGGGAAGGGGCCTCTCTCCCGGCCGAGGGGGCGCCCTGATCCCTCCCCCCGCTCCTCCCCTGCGCTCTCCCCGCCTCTTCCCCACAGATCCGGCCGCGGCTCGGCTCCTTCCCGCACACCCAGCAGGCTGCAGCCGGGACCCGCTGGCGGGGTAGGGCGCCGGAGCGGGGCCGCAGGACAAGCTGCGCCTTGGGCGGCGAGCGGGACTCGGCGGCGGCTCCCCGCGTCCGGGGCTGGGAGTCGGGAAGCTCCTGACACGCTCTGGGGCTGCCGCGGGCTCCCTCCGCTAGACACAGCCGGGCTGAGGCCAGCTTCATCGGCACCCCCCAGCAGTGACGGGGGGTCTTGCACCAGCATCGCCTGCACCCCTCCCCCAGCAGTGTCTGGGGGAGGGTCTTGCACCAGCATCTCCTGCACACCTCCCCCCCCCCCCGCAGTGACGTGAAAGGGGCAGGAACTAGCCTTGCCTACACTCATCCCCAGCAGCGACGGGGGAGGACTTGTGCCAGCAGTGGCGGGGGCTGGTTGCAGCATACCTTTTCTTGCCTGCAGAAGCGGCCTGGGAGGTTGGTAGCAAAAGCACTTTGCAGCAGGTGAAGGGTCTGGGTCTATCACAGAACCAAGCTGGTGGAGTTTGGGGCTCTTCAGTTCCTGGCGTCGCGAAGTGCTGCTCTGGATGTCAGATTTTCCACTGGGAGCATCGCAGCAGGGATCTGTCTTGCCTCTCCTGTACTTGCCTAACCCCTGTCTCTGACTGCCCCGCTACCCAGAATGGCAGCCATCAAAAACTTGCAGCTGTGGTGCAAGCAGCAGTGTGAAGGCTACCGGGATGTCAGCATCACCAACATGACCACCTCTTTCCGGGACGGCCTGGCATTCTGTGCCATTCTTCATCGGCACAAACCAGACCTCATGTGAGTAACAGGGAGCTTCAGGTGCCCCTCCTCCTCTGAGTTGGTTCCTTCTAGTATCTTGCCTTAGGAGTTCTCCTGCATTCGATCCAAATTCTGTCTCCCTCCCATGGAAATCTGGTGTCCTCTCACTTGTAAATTATTTATGCCAGAAACGCTGAGGAGTCATGGAACTGAGGTTATAAAAATGGTTGCTCATCTTAGAATATCAGGGTTGGAAGGGACCTCAGGAGGTCATCTAGTCCAACCCCCTGCTCAAAGCAGGACCAATCCCCAATTTTTGCCCCAGATCCCTAAATGACCCCCTCAAGGATTGAACTCACAACCCTGGGCTTAGCAGGTCAATGCTCAAACCACTGAGCTATGCTTGCTCCCTCCGTTAAATTTAAGAGTCATTTAAAACTTGACTGGAAAAATGCCCCACAGAAAATCCTGGCAGGTCCATGCACTGAATGACTTAATAGCCATGCACAATTATGTTTCTCAGCACTCAGTACTGGATCTCTCTTCTGTAGCACGGGGATGGGGGGGTTGGTTGGCTGGCTGGAGTGTTGGACAGGGAGCGGCAGGCATGTCTTTCTGTGCTAGGTATCATGGTCTTTCCCATGGAACTTCAGTGCATAGTACCCACCTGAGTGCCACCTGGGCTGCTGGAAGAAATTGGGTTGTGAGTTAATTCTCTGTCCTGCCCTATTGCACGGGGGCAAGGGAGACTGGGTTGGCATGTGAGTCTGGGTTTCGAGGACCATGGTAATGGGGGAAGAGTCAGAGTGTAGTGTCCCAAAGCATTAACTGTGACTCGGGCTGCCCTTGAGCACTGTGGCCTTTATGGGGTGGGAGCGCTGTCCTGAGTGCCATCTCTTTCAGCTCCTTGAGGTGCTCTCTGGTGTTAGCAGCTATTTTAGCTCAGTCCAGGTGTCTGATTTGCCTAGCGCAGGAGTTTGTGTCCAGTTAAGGGCAGCGCCTGGTCTTGTCCAGTTGGGCCTGCTGCAGGGCCGTGACCTCGTGTTTGGGGGCCTGTGTGGCTGGGGGCTTGCTGACTGGGGGCTAGCTGCATTGGCATAATAGAATGCTCAAGCTGTGTGCCCTGTTGGTCCCAGGCTATGAGGGAGACAAGGTGGGTGAGGTGATATCTTTTATTGGGCCAACTTCTGTTGGTGAGGGAGACAAGCTTTCGAGCTTACACAGAGCTCTTCTTCAGACCTGAAGCTGGTCTCTCTCACCAACAGAAGTCTGTCCAATAAAAGATATCCCCTCCCCCACCTAGTCTGTCTACAATGCTACAAACCTTCCAGCCCTGGTTAGATGGTGTTCTGCTTTGGCACTGAAATAGTTGTGCTGTCGTGAAAGCAGAAAACCTCCGAGCCAATGGCTCGTTTCTCCCCGTTCACGCTCCTTTCTTCTCCTTCGCGAGTGGCGAAAGGCTGGGGCTGAGCTGTAAACAGTTAAAATATGTCCCTTCTGTTGCTAAACAAGTTTAAACGCCAGTTGGGAGATGTTTGCTTCTTTGCAATTAATGTTTGTTTAGGCTCCGCTTTCCATGCTGTGCCAAATGCCAATTTCACCAGTTATTAGCTGGCCAATAAATGCTAGTTTATAGCAACAACAACAACAAAAACCCTGGGAATTTCCAGGCAGGATTCCATGCTGGGGAGCTGAAAGGCGCCATGCTGGAAGGAAACTACTCCTTCCACTGACTGCCTCTTCTCCGTCCCCCATCCCATGGCCTCTTCCATGGAAACACGGAGTGAGTGGCTGCTTTCAGAAGAGCTCTTCGACAGCCCACAGACAGAGCTCAGTAGCTGCCTGCTTGTCACCAATTGCTTGTTTGCCGATTTAGAGCCCAATCCTGTGAGGGAATGGGAGCCCTCGACTCCCAGTGACTTCATTATGCACTAAGGGCATCTCCAGGAGGCCAGGCTGCTCAGCCTGTTACACCGCTGTCCCATAGGGTTTAGGTCTTGCCTTCTTTTTCCACTGCTGGTGGTGTCTGACTCAACAGCTGCATTATGAAAGGAAGGGCTGAGTGCTGCCCCTGAAGTTGCGTTCTGGGTTCTTTTTACTGTGTAATTTTAGCTTGAAGGCTAGTAACACAAGAAGTGTGAGAACAAAGCCGGGGGGCAGGGAGAGAATTTCTCTGTCACGTTGTTGGGAGTACTTGGGTCCCCTGTGGTAGGCCATGTCAATCTGGCAAGGAATTAGATTGTCTCTTCTATTCTTGGGGCTCTTCTCCGATTCCTTGGACTGTGCCCTCCTGCCTAGGCTGTCCTATGTGGTCTGTTCAGTTTTCTGTGGGGAAGCCTCTCTTACAGGTGTCTCACTTCTTGCTTTAACCTAAGGAAGTGGCCGTCCATCCCCGCTCACCTCTCTCCTGTGACTGTGGGTTTCTTTGAACTTTGCTTCTGTGCTTTAAAGAGGCTGTCACCAGCGAATGAATTACTTGTTTGACCGGCAGGAGCAGCCACCCAGTCCATGGCAGTCTTTCTGAAACATGCATCCGATGAAGTGAGCTGTAGCTCACGAAAGCTCATGCTCAAATAAATTGGTTAGTCTCTAAGGTGCCACAAGTACTCCTTTTCTTTTTGCGAATACAGACTAACACGGCTGTTATTCTGAAACCTTTCTGAAACATGCGTCTGATGAAGTGAGCTGTAGCTCACGAAAGCTTATGCTCAGATAAATTGGTTAGTCTCTAAGGTGCCACAAGTCCTCCTTTTCTTTTTCTGAAACTAGTTTTTCCTCCATTATTTGATCAGGTGCCATTGCCTTGCTCTGTTTACTTCTTGCCACCTCACCATGTTTACTGTCTTGGAGGTTCTCTGCAGGACTCTAAATGTTCCCCTGCCGGCCTTTAATCCAGAGTCAGTGACATGGTAAATGACTGTGGCAGCAGGTTATGTGGCTTCCGGACACTCAGAAAGGACCTAGCCACGTCCTAGCTGGCCTTGTATTGAATGGGTGTCACACCGTATCAAACATGGACGCTTGGGCAGGGGATTGGCTACCTGAGCTCCAGGGAAATTCCCTGTTGGCCAGTCCAGGGGGTACAAATAATGCTTCGGCTGCATGTTTAAAGCAGGGGATAGACACACTTTAAATAAATCTCTCTGTTCACTAAAGCTGCAAACACTTGTTGTGATTGCTCCCTGTTTTTTTTGGTTTAATTCTGCCGCAGAGCATTTCAGGTGCAGCCGTGCTCAGACAGACAAGTGCAGGTGAAATTATGACAAGGCCTTTGGGACTGGTCTCCCTGTTCATATTAACAATAGCAGAGTCACACAACAAAGCAGCTGGTGTACGACTGGCAGGTGAAGGTGCTGCTGGGTGGAGGTAATACCTTTACACGCTTGGTGTCGGAAGTTGCAGGAGGCCATGGGAAGCTCCAGAAGCTTGGATTTTTTTTTTAAATTCCTGCAAATCTGTGAGCTTGGTAACCTTGCAACAGAGCTAATTCGTGTCTATAAATCACGGATTGAATGTTGATCTGTAAATCTGCAGAGATTGTTTTGCAACATGTTTTCTTCTCTTGGCTTACACAGATGACATTTTAGCTCCGGGGGTATGCTATGGAGAGGGTGTTTCTTGCTCCGGGAGGCATGGGGAGTAGCAGGAGACTTCAGGCAGTCAGCAAAGCTTTAACAACATTGCGGTTTTCTGTTCTGGGGTTTGCAGTCCATAGGTCGGTGGGGAGGCTGGTATAACGTCTATTCCCTCTTCCTGTTTCCTGCCAGAAAACATGTGAAGGGAAAGATTACTTCTTCCAAATTTAGCTGAGGTCAGGCAGCAATGGCAAGAGGTTCTATGCTCTGTGCACTGGGCAACCTGCATACAACTAGAACTGCATTCCCCACGTGCCCTAGGAGACTAGGGCATGTTGGACTTTGTTAGGAAAGAAACCCAGGACTGAATGAATTTGGAATTAAATTCCCCTTTCACTCCAATAGATTAAGATTTCTTAACGTCCTGTATACACAGTCCATGCACCGCTCCAGGCAGGTTTGTGCCCATGATGAGTGGGGAATGAATACAGAGCATTAATTTATTCTTGTCAGAAGAAGGTGAAGCTTCCCAGCTGCAGGATCCAAGATGTGAACTCTGCAGTGTTCTCACCTTGGCATCAGCTGGGGGTGTGATATGTTGCTAGTCCTGTTAGTGGGTTTTGAGTCTGTACTGATAAGTGAGTCTGGAAAAGCAGAGAAACTGTGCTCTGTCATTCGCGCTCTCTGGTATTAATTCCAGATGTTTTAGGGACGTTTTGGTGGAAAGGTTTTGATTAAGCTCTGTCTTCTTTCCTTCCCTCTTCCCTGCCGCCCATTGGTGATATTCTTTCTCGGGTTGCTAACTAACTGTAGCTCACGAAAGCTTATGCTCAAATAAATTTGTTAGTCTCTAAGGTGCCACAAGTCCTCCTGTTCTTTTAACTGTTAAAAGGTCAGCATATGGGAATTTAGAGGGGGTATGGAATCCCCTGGCAGGCTGCAGGCTGCGTAGAGTTGGATGGCTGGAACTGGTGAGCCGTGAACAGTATCTGTCTGCTCTTATTCTCCAGGAGACCTTAGCATGGTTGTTATCAGCTAGCTGGAATGAGAGCAGCCAGGCGAGTTTGCTCCATAGGGGACAGCAAGTCTAGGAGGCAGACAGGAATGGAGTGGATTGGGCAAGGGGAGCCCAATCAGACTGCGGCAGCGAATTTGCATATAAGTGCAGAGTCATACAATTTGCTTGTCTTCCTTGTTACCTGGAAAATCAACAAACCAAAGCATTCCTGGAGCCACTAGATTAGAGAGGCTAACAGACTCTGTCCTCCCAGAAGCCGTTTCTCTGGGTGGCTCCAGTAAAAGATATTACCTCATCCATACTTGTCCCTCTACATAGCAAACTAAAGGATGAGCATGGATTGCAGTTCAGCACTGTTCAGGTTGGGCTTTGCATTTTAGGTGCCATTGCTTAGGGCTATTGCCAAGGCCGCACAGAGCCCTAAGCAAAGTAAGACTTGTTGAGCTTCACCCATGTCTTTTTATCTGTAGCTGATTCTCTATGGCCTTTGAGCTGGTTTGCCAGTAGCTTGGTGGCTGATCGAAGGAGTGTGTGTGTGTGTAGGGGTGTGTGTGTGTGTGTGTGTGTGTGTGTGTGCATGGGCCCCTGTGCATGGGCATAAACCTAGGGCTCCACTGCCCTTGCTGTAGCCAGCACAAGCATGTCCTGCGTGGAAGAGCTGGCTGCCAAGAGACAGTCCCATTTGTGCAGGAACAGGTCAGGTTTCTCCTCTGCTGTCATAGGGCCTTTACTACTTGCAAGGGATCCTTTGAACTGGGAAGGTTTCACTGTTCCCAGGGAACCCCATGTAGAGACCCGGGGCATTGTCTGGACCTTTCTCCACAGGCAGCCTTTGGGTTGCTTCCTGTTCTCAGTCACAAGGTGAGCAGCTGCAGAATCCCATTGTGCTGTTGCATCCTATGACTGGCTTGCAGGAGCAGACAGGATCTTCCCTATGGAAACACATGTGCTAAGGAGGGATCATGACAAACGCTGCAAGCTGGAGATGATAGGGCTGGAGTAGCTCCTTGGGAGCGGGGCCATCTCAGCCAGCTGAATGAAAACTTTGTTCAGGGGCTTAAAATTGCACTTTCCTGAGCGAACAAACTCCATTCTTCCCCACTGCCCCGAGCCTTCCACCAGGGTCTGGTAAATGCATCTCTTCGCTTCCCAATGAACTGAGTTCTCCTTTGCCTTCTCAGTGGAGAAATCTTATGGTCCGGTTTAGTTCTCCCTTTGTATTCATGTTGTTCCTGTAAGATTATAGATAAATTGATCCAGAGAGCAACTGATACTACAGACTAGAAAGAGCATTAGCTAGATCAACTCCCTAGGGAAAAATCTGATGTAATCTTGTTAATAAAACTAGCCATTAAGATGACTAGCCAATGAGAGAAACAGTGCTTGGGGTACATGGCATGAAGAGGAGAGATGCCTTTTAGTGAGGCTCTCTATGTGGAACAATCGCCAAACAGCCTGGCTGTGTACATTCTCTTCAGCGAGAACTGCAAGCGGATTTTTCAATTATCCTTCAGCAGAGAGAAACCCAAATTCTTACCTCCAGGCTCCATCCCACATGGCCTTGATGTTGTCTCCACTTTCACTGGTGTAAATGGAATTCAGAAATGCAGCCTTGTGACATGGAGGTGACGGGGAATGTGACTGATGCCAAATCAATGAATCTGGCATTATTTTAAACCTCTGGCACGGAGATTTTTTTTTTTTGTATTTCCCACATCTGTGCTTTGGCAGGTTGAAAGATACAGAGCAAAGCCTGGGCTTGCCCTGGCTCTGTGGTGCTTTCCATTGCTCAGTGCAGTCTAATTGCACTTGCTGTGAGAGGACACCTTCCTTGAGCTGCTGCTCTCTCTCTCCTCAGCACTATGTCAAGCTTCCTTAAAATCAGAGAAGCTGGAGATGTAAAACAATTGCTAGGTTATCTTCTCCAACTCCTGCCCATGCTGGGGTTTTCCCCTACAGTATATTCTTAAGTGCTTTGTCTAGCCTGGCTTTGAATGACTCAAGCGAGGAGTCCCTTTGGCAGATTATTCCACAGTCTAGCAGATTTTGATGTTCATCTTACATTTATCTTTGCAGTTCCTGGGGGTGTGAGCAGAAAACAGCCTGCAATGAGGGGAGAGTTGGCTGTGCATGCTGCTATCCATGGCACAGAGCTGCCTGTTGTTTTCATTGGCATGTTGGGTGTTAGTTGTACCGACTGGCGTGATCCAAGCTCTCGCGTGGGGATGCAGGAGTGAGAGAAGGGCTTGTAACTGACTGGCTCCCTGGGCTGGGGGCAGGAGGGACCCATATGGTTTGTCTGAGGTGAAGCGGGATGATTTTAATTGTTGTCTCAGTGATACAGTCTGCTTCCTTAATAGAGCAGAATAATAAATAAAATACTCCTTTTAAGCCACTATTGTAAGGAAGGAAAATCCCCACCCAGGAGCCCACTGGGACAAGGAATGAATGGGATGGTTTGGCAAGTCTTACTCCATTCTCCAGCCTGGCGGGTGGAGGATTCTGGCTTGCTCCTTGTCTTTATGCACTTCTTGGGGGAGTTCAGAAGTGGGATTTTGACATCAAACCCCAGCTCATTCTCCATCTGCCTGGCTCACCAGTTCCTGGGGGTGAACTCTGTTCTGCTTGGAAGGTGGGACCCTGGATCCAGATGAAAGAAATAGAGAAGAGGTGGCGGTTTGTGCCTTGGATGAAAGGAAATTATTTAAAAGACAGCCCACTCTGATCTGTTTGAAATCTGAAGTCGGCAACTGGTGTTTTTCAAACCCCTCTGTTATTGAAGGACAAATCTCACTGTAAGTTTGGAGCAGGGGATTGTCCTTCACATATTTTAAGGGACATCCCTTATTTGCCTAATGTTCGTGTCTTGTATTAAGTATATAAAGGACACACTTTGTCCCATATTTTCAGTAGCAGTCATGCAAATGATCCTGTGTGTGATATAAACTCATGCATTTGTGTTATTAATAGAACTGTGTGTGGCAGCTTTATCCTGGATTTTTCATATAGTTGTCCTTTATTCCCTTTAAATAGAAATGGTTGCGTGAGTTTGTGGGGTGAATTGGTGTGTATTAAGGGAAGGCTGTTTGAGAACGTAAGAAAACCCAAGTTTTTGGCCTACATTTTTTGCAAAATGTCATATGAATAATTCTTTCTCTTGTAATTAATGAGAAGTTCCCCTTCATGCTATAAACATTCTGCTGCATGTTTTCAGCCCCAAAACTGTAGCATGGTGATAACTGGAGAGAAACTGAGTAGTAATAAAAATGGCTCTGGCTAGCCACTGTCCAGGTTGAGAAGAGCAACAGCTCTATCTTTCAGCTCTAGCTTGATCGTTGATAGAAAGCAAACTCGATTTCTAAAATGATTTCTGCTTTCTTAATCTGCATGTTGTACAGCAGGTGAAAATATTTCTTGCTCAGGCCCAAGTCTGGTAGAGCATGTAACAGCAGAGAACGGGGTCGGGGAAGAGACAGGATCTGAATCCAGAACTTGGACCTGCTGCTCCCTGAGCTCACAGGAGGTGAATGTATCATAGAAGTGCATGATATTCACAGCTCTCCTGGAGGAGGGGGATGACTCCTGCTGCCAAGGCTGCTGGAGGAAGAGAGGACCGGAGCCAAGGCTCTTCTGATGCTGGAAGTCTCTGAGGGTCTGGTAGTTCTGGGTCTGGCACAGGGATCTGCATGTGACCATTAGGGGAATGCTGTGCCTCAGGGAGCAGCGATGATGATACAAATACGAGAGGTGTGTCCTGCCTGGCAGCAGTGATCCTTGGGGGTGTGGGGAAGGAGCAAGTGTTTCATGAAGGCAGCAGGTAAAAGCCTTCACCTCTCCCGCACTGCAGAAGCCGTGAATCTGTACATGATGTTTGGCTGGCGTGGCATAGCCCACTGTGAGGGTGGGGCGGCTAGCATGGCCAGCCCTGGAAGACAGGGAGCCGAAACGGTGCTCCAGTCGCAGATGGCAGGGAAGTCCCAGCTGTGCTGGTGGGGTCTCCCGTGCTGAGATCACACCTTTGTCCGCAGGAGGTACTGGAGTGCCTTTACCAACGGGGGCCTCTGGGCTCGTCTTTAGTGAAGATGCTACTCCCGTCGGCGTAGTTAATCCACCTCCCCGAGAGGCTGTAGCTGTGTGGATGGGAGAAGCTCTCCCGCCAGCGTAGCGCTAGGGGATAGGTTGGTATAACTACTTTGCTCAGGGGTGTGGATTTTTCACACCCCTGAGCCATGGGGTTACACCGATATAAGTCTGTAGTGTAGACCTGGCCTCCGATGGAATTGCTGGGGTATGTCTGGTGGCAGCCAAAGCAGGAAGGAAGCTGCCACTCTCTTCCCAAAGAGCCAGGCTGCGAGGGTCTCGGGGAGCTGGAATGGAAGGGGCGTGCTCTGGATTACCGACGCCCAGCTAAACTCTTTCTCCTCTTCCGTGTTTCAGAGACTTCAACGTCCTGAGTAAGGAAAACGTGTATGAGAACAACTCTCTGGTAAGTGGGATTTGCAGTTCTGCTTTCTGCTGTTAACCACGGTGTGCTGTGCCCAGGGCAGCCCCAGTTCCCCTGTGGCATGGTGGTCTCTGCATGGTGCTCTGCTACTCGCCCATGCCTGGAGCAGATCACAGTTAACCGCTAGTAACTCAGGGAACGGAGCGTGTTTATGACACACTCAGACCCGCCGGCTTATTCTACGTGCCTCTGCTCTGGCGACTCTAGCAAACATTTTCCAACTTCCCCGGCTATGGTAAAGCACCGTAAGGCCGTTCAGCTTTCTTAACTGCCTGTGCCCTGTCACCTCTGTTGAGACAGGGATCCCCAGACAGGGGCTTTGTCATCTCCCAGCACTGAGTGCTCTGCCAGCTCGCCACGAAAAGCGGGGCAGCTTGTGCAATGGGACGGCCTGCGGATTCTCCATCCTCACCGGCTTCTCAGTGCGGGGCAGCTCTTTTATGGAACAAGCAGCGAGGAAAGGCACTTGGGAAGGGCCGTGGGGCGTGCAGCTCTCTGCGTGTGAAGTGCTGATAGATGCCACTGCAAGGAGTAGAGGAGGCAGACGCTTGACTCGAGAGAGAGAGAGAGAGAGAGAGAGAGAGAGAGGCCCGGCTGGTGGTGGAATGGCAGCATGTGTTGCTGCTCCCCGAATCAGCAGGTTTTAAGGATGTGCTCTGTGCCTTGGGCAGCCAGGGCTGGGAGCGCTGCCCCAGGGCATGTAGGACGTCTCTCTTGTAACCCAGCCAGTGCTCAGGCCTCTCTCCACCACCAGACTGGCTCTCCTTGAGCTTGTGACTGTCTTGGGACACGTATGGGACTAACTTCTCTCACAGCTGTTTCCTCTGCTATTGTTCAGGCTTCAAGTGGAGACTAGCCATGCTACTGTGGGGCCTTTGGAGGAGGAGGTGCAGGAGGTACTCTGCAATGGAGAGTGGGCTGGGGTATGGGAGCAGAGAGTTAAGGGGATGGCTGGGCTCTCCTCTGCCACAGGCTCTTCAGCAAAGGTACTGGTAGGATGGCTCCTGTTCCTGTCCTCTTTGGAGCTCCCTGCACAGCCGTCTTGGCCAGGCTTTGGGGGGGGTGTGCTCTGTGTCATGAAGGAGCGAGCCCATGTTTCCCCATTGCCCCTGGTGTGTCTGTCGGGCAGGTGTGGCCGTGGACTCCCTTGCTGGGAGTCAGAAAGTCCCCCCCCTTCCCCTCTGCCTGCCCAAGCTGGGAGACCACAGAGACTGGGGCAGAAGGGCTGGGGGTCGAAGGAGGGAGAAATCCCCAGGGAGGAGGTGCATTAATGTACTGGCTGTGTGCTGCTTCCAAGAGATCAGAGGGGACTTGGTAGGTAGCTTGAGGCAAGAGAGGGTAAGGGGGTCCCCCCACCTCTCTCCCTGCAGAGTTATGTGCTGAGAGAAGGTGGGGCAGTTCTAGAGCCTTTGTCCCTGCTGGATTTGCTACTCCAGCTTGGGAACTGGTCAGGCTGGGGCTGCGCTTTCCCTCCTTCCTCCATAAAGGAATAGAGCTCAGGTCACCCGCCCACTCCCTGCGCTAGCTCCAAAAGCCAAGCGTGGGATGAGTCCTTGAAGAAAGGAATTTTTCCTGCCTTCCCCCATAAAAGATGGACCGCAGATACAGCTGCTGTTCCCTTCAGGGCGGGCACTGGCCCATGCTCGCTTCACTGCCGCTTGGAGTGAGGCTGGGATTTGAACAAACACGTCTCTTGTTCTCTTCCGAGTCCAAACAGCTACCTCCTTTTCGGGTGACGCATGGCCCTGCATCCAGGACAGCAGAGGTGGTGGTCCAGTTTGAGTCACTGGCCCCACACCGTGTGTATCTGATCCTGCTCCCCCGGGAACTGTCCCCTGATGTCCTTGCCCGCCTTTGCCCCAGGTTTCCCCCACATCCAAGTGTAATGTGAGCTGCTGGGCAGGGGACAAGCAATGTGTGTGTGAGTGAGAGAGGCTGAGGATCATGGGGGAGCGTGGCGGCATGGGGCGGAGGAATTAGTAAGGGTGTTTCAATTATGACTTAGCAGCAGCATTGTGCCTGAGATGGAGAGTCCTCTCCTTAAAACTCTGGGCTCATGTGGGGTTGGAAGTCATGTCTGAGTCTTTCGATTCCACCATCTCAACCTTTCGCGTCCTGTTTCTCCCTCCATCAGACCTTCACGCTCTGTTCCTCTCTGTCTCCACTCCTGTACGTTAGGACATGTCCTGAAGGGGAAGTCAGGTAATTCTCTTGTTTCTGTGTGGGTGCTGTGCACTACCATAGCAGGCTTTCCTGGGTACCAGCCACCGGCTTATAGCAGTGCCAGGCTGATGAAGTCGCTCCTCCCCATTTAGTATTCACATCAAGCTGCGTTTACAGATGCTCAGCAAGGATGCTCTGAAGTTCTGGAGGTTGTTAGCTTCCTGTGCATGGCTGAGGGCTTCCCTTCCACAGAGGAACTTGGCTATTTTCTTTCTTTCTTTTCTTTCTCTCTGTGAAATGAACTGTTCAGGCTGCCTCAGCTGGTTTTATTAATGAAAATGTCTGTACGCTCACCGGGTCCATATTGTCTCTTCTCTCCCATGTCTGTCTCCCCCTCTGTGTCTTTCTCCATTTCTTGGTCTCTGCCGTCTTCATGTCCTTTATTTTTTCAGTCTCTCCTCCCTCCTTCTCCTGTTGCTATAAGGTAACGTGTCCCTGTGCTAATAAGACACAGAGCGGGTGGGCAACCCGTGCCTCTCTCCACCACCAGACTGGCTCTCCTTGAGCTTGTGACTGTCTTGGGACACGTATGGGACTAACTTCTCTCACAGCTGTTTCCTCTGCTATTGTTCAGATCCTGCTGCTGCCTCGCTGCTCATAGGCTTCTTTTCGGGGGGCTTTATTATACAACTGGAAAAATCTGTTCCAGTCTGAAACTCTCCATACAAGGTCTTGAGGCGAGGAAGAATGTGGCTTTTACCAGATGCCAAAAATGATCTGTTGGGCTGTTTTTTGTTACTAGAAGTAAAATATGTAAATAAGGGGAAGATGTTTGTTCATTTTCCTTCACTACTACTGGGAGGCAGTGCGGCCTAATGAGAGAGAGAGAGAGAGCGCACACTAGACTGGTAATCAGGAGACCTATTCCTGGCTCTGCCGCTGGCCTGCTGGGTGACCTTTGGCAAGTCCCTTCTGGGCCTCAGTTTCCCCATCTCTAAAATGACACTTCTTTCCTCTGTAAAGCACTTTGAGATCGACTGGTGAAAAGTGCTATATAAATATTATTATTAAGCCCCTCATTTCCCAGGCCGTTAGTTGGAATAGTGGCAACTCACCGTGGGTTGTGATCTTGTTAGATCTCAGTATTAGGAAGGGAGAGGGCCAAGGAACCCCTCCGTGCTGCAGGCACTGACCACACTGATTCAGCAGAAGGCCCTTTTTCCCTCTTAGGCTCTATCTCCACGAAGTACAGCTGTCTTTATGTATCTTTTTGTACTGCTCTGAGCTGATCTAGTACCAACAAACACAGGTGTGTCCCCCCCCAGCATCTTTTTGTTTCCCGGCACGAGCGTGTACCAGCAGTGTAGACGCACCAATCGCACGGCCTGTCCGTGTCAGTGCGTCCTGGGACAAGCTAGGCAATTGACGCTGCCATAACTACTTGGCGGTAAGCCTGTGTTCTGACCATCCAGTTAAAGAGTTAAGACCCAATGAAAAATAGGGCAGTTGGCTCGTTAAAAAAGTCGTTTGTCTCTCCTAAACAGGGAGAGCTGGCTTGTAGGTCAGATCCATTATATTACTGTGCCAGACAGGAAGGGCTCTCGTAGAGTTAGACTCTGTCTTTAAGACTTTCATCCATTGTTTCGGCTGTAGCCCTGTGTCTGGCTCTTTGAAATGCTGATCTCTCATTGGCATTATGAAGGAGGATGTTCCAACAGAGAGGGTATTTGAGCTCTCTCTCTCTAAGCCAGGAAGGAGGGATGGAGAAGGGCCTTGGCCAAAGCTCTGCGGGGAAGCAGAGAGAGACAGAGTAGCTGCAGGGATATTGCTCTTTTCCTGGGTCCAATGAAGTCTCTTGTTCAGTGTTGGAAGAAAGTCGCTCTGTATTTCTTTACCTTCTGTCCCCCTAGCACTAGTACACCGGGCAGCACCGGTGAGCAATTTTTGCCCCAGGTACCTGGTATGTTAGGCAGCCCTGAAGTTGTTAATCTGAATTAGAAATGCATGATTTGAGCAGAGGCTTGGGAGCCAGAAAGTCTTTGATTCTACTTTTGCCTCTGATCCGTCTGCGGCCTTAGCCAAGTGGCTTCATTTTTACTGCTGTAGCTTGCCTGTTGGTCATATAGGGAACGACAGTCACCTCACGGGGGGGATTGTGAAGCTTAATGTTTGTAAAGGTTTTGGAGTGAAAAGCGGTGTATAAACACCAAGGGCTTGTTGATGTGGCGAGTTAGTGCATGGTAAGCCAGGGTGTGAATCTACAACACGTCTATACATTGCAAGCTAGTGCACAGCAAGCCTGCAAGACCCAAGTATCACTACCTACCAAAACCCCACTAATGGGAGCATTAAGAATGGGACTGAAACCTGCAAGCCAAGCCTCTAGGTCCAGACCCATAACATCCGGCTGAGTGGGGCTGCAACCTCTCTATCTGCAAATAGGCACATACACGTATACAGAGAGCGAAACAGTCCCAAGGAAGAGCAGGAGAAACCCAGCTGAGTTCCAGTGGAATGAGCTGGGACCAGCCTGTCTGGCTGGATTTTGGGCTGTCAGCCTGAATTTCCCAATCTTGTGGCTGGAAGTCGTGACTGTCAGAGTTCCCGTAACAGCTGTCTGATGTAGGAGCTGAACTAGCCCAGCTGCTCCCCCGGGGAGGAATAGGGGCCTGTGTGCTGCAGTGCTTCCTTATCTTTCTCCAAATGGATGGCTGACCGCTTCGGTCACTGGGCTAGCACAGACCCTGTTCCTTCTGTTCCCACTGCAGGCATTTCGAGTGGCTGAAGAACAGCTGGGCATTCCTGCCTTGCTGGATGCTGAGGATATGGTGGCTCTGAGGGTGCCAGACAGGCTGAGCATCCTCACCTACGTCTCCCAGTATTATAACTATTTCCATGGACGGTCACCAAGTAAGTAGCCCATCCCCTGGTGTGCCAGGCACCCTGCTCAGGATGGAATTCCACCTGGTCCTCCCACCCAGGCCCACCAGTCTGCAGTGAGGAAGCAGTCAACATTTAAGCAAATCAGATAGCTGTTAAAATCTCCTGTGTGCATGCACCCCACCTTCCCCAGGCACCCAGGAAACGGGCTTATGTGAAACTTGGAGACTGAAATTTAGTGTTGACATGCCTAGGCAAAAAGCTCCTGTGGGAGCTGAGTGTATAGGCTATCCCCATGTAAGCATAGTTATGCCGGCATAATTGCATCTACACTAGGGCGTTGGCCAATTTAGCTACGTCAGTAAAAAATCACATCCCTAGCTGACATAGTTCCACAGTAAAACTTTTAAGCGTAGACTCGGCCTAAGGGCTTCCGAGAATATTATTCTCACATAACCGAGTGTATGTTAACTACCATCCATCGGGATTTACATGCACATTATGATAGATCTGGTTTGTATCTGGCTTTAAACTATTACAAATGAAATAATACGAGAAGCCAAACTCATGGGTTCTCCAAAGGACATTTTGGAGAGGTGACATTTGGGGTGTGAATGGCTAGGCAGATAGAGCTCCAGCTGGAGAACGTGGATCTGGATTATGAAACCAGGTTTTTTTCAAATAGCTGAATGTTCTCTCCACCCTCCACTTCGTTCTTTGTCTCATGTTTTTAAATCCATGTCAAAAAGTGAACGCCAGCCAGAGTGCTTGTGCAGCCCGGTGGGCTTTGTGCCAGGTTGGGGTCTCTCCTTCCACCCCCAGGGGAACTCGCCTACCACATCATTAAACACATCACATTTCTGTACCCTCCAGCGTCCTACAAAATGTTTCAGTTGCCCTGAGAACATTGGGGTAAGTGTGTGTGTCCAAACCCACAGGCGTGCGAGGAATGTGCCCTCTGACACACAGCAGACTCTGAAGTCCAGCGGCAGTGACCCCTTGACTTCTGTGTCTTGTTTATTGCATATTCCTCACTGACGCCAGTCATTCTTTGCAATCCTGAGACCAGGGAAAGGCTAATATGTACTGAGGCTGTGCACTGACATTAGAGCAGGACTGAAGTTCCCTTTGCTTGCACTGGGTTCTGGGAGTGGGAAGTTTGAATCTAGACCTTTCGCTGTGGCCCTGCTGGTCCCTGCGGTGAAATTGCACTTGCTATTTGTTTGTCTAGCTTGCCGAAGTCTCCTCTGCAGGAGGCCACTTTCATACTGCTCCATGAATCGCTCTCCCTCTCTCGTGGCGTATTTACAGCTCTCTCGGGAATCTTTTTTTCAGATGGCTATTCCTTCACTTGGCTTTAAAACCAAAATTGCAGCTAGAATAATTCTTTGCTGTGTCCCACAGAGAGCGTGAAGAACTATATGGTTCAAAAAGGGGTGGGGGTGTGGAGGGAAAAGAACACACTTGCAGGATGGCCTAAATGGCTGAGCAGCCCTACCACTTGGAGTCAGGCTTTGTCATAACCAAACTGGAAAGCTAACTTAGCCCTGCCCCTCCCGGGGGCTGTCCTGCAGTTGTTCCCTGTTCCTGATTGGAGTTCTGGGGGCGTTTGGCCGTTCTCTTTTCCCCTCCCTGCTTATTGCAACCTTAGGGAGTCCTTCCCACCCCCAAACAAGGAAGAGAGAGAGGAAATCGCTCTCGTATCTAGCGAATGCATCCCAAGTCTTTGAGTATTAAATCTTGTTTGTTTCTGCTTAGTGGCTCCCATGGTGCCTCCCAGTTCTGGTCACGCTGTCATGGAAAAGCCTATTGACTTTAGGAGGAAGGCTGGGCTAGTGATTAGGGGCCTACCCTAGCACTTGTGAGACCCCGGTTCAAGTCTCTGCTCTGCCACAGACTTCCTGTGTGACCATGGGCAGGTCACTCAGCCTGTCTGGGCCTCAGTTCCCCATCTGTACAATGGGGATAACAGCACTGCCTTACCTCACAGGGGAAATGCATTAAAGATTATGAGGCACTCACATATTTTGGTAATGGGGGTTCTATAAGCACCCAAGATAGATATGCTGAAGGCCACTAACTTGCCCAGCCTGGGGGAGAGGTGTTTTTTACATTCCCTCCATCAAATTTCCCAAGAGAAATGGCCCTTTAAGAAAGTCCCAGCCGCTTCCAAGACGGAGAGGGATCAGCAGCTACCACTGCCGGATGCACCTCCTTCTCCTCTGTTAACTCACTTGTTGCATCTTGCCCCAAATTCAGGTGCAAGCTTGTGGAGAAGCCCAGGTTTCCCTGTGTTTATATAGTACCTAGTGGGGCCTGCTGGGGACCTTCAGACATTACTGTAATACAGATCACTTCCAGGCCTATGTTTCGGGCTTATGCTCCCTTGTCCTTTATGCCAGTTGGAGGCCTGTCTGGAATCAAGCGTCCCACTTTTGAATCGAGCGAGGAGCCACCTGGGAAAAAGGCCATTTCGGAACCTATCAAGCTGACTCCTGTAAGTTCACCAGCACCTCCATCAGCTGCAGCCAAGATAAACCCAGCACGTCCAGGGCAGGATCTGCCAAAGGAAAATCCTCCAGTGACATCGGTAAGAAAACAGATTCTCCTACTCTGAACCGGCTGGTAGGCGTTGGAGACACTCATGACAGGCTAGAAGGCCTCAGCCAGCTGGGGATTGAGTCCTGACCCACTGTTTATGATCCACCAACTCTCCCATTATGGGATTAAACCTGGAGGCCCTACTTACCACTGGTGAGAGGGCATCTGCATGGTTACCAACAAGCTCATGTTCAATCAGATGGCAATTGGACTTGGGCCTCTCCTTGCTTGTCTAGTGGCTATGCCACCCAACTGATAGATCCAGGCTCTGTACCCTGAGTTAGATGCTCTTTGTGCTGGTGATTAAATTCAGCCCTGCTGCTGACTCTCTCCCCATTTGGGATCGACGCCAGACTTAGTTGACCTGGATTAGCCCAGGGAGGGGTGTGCGCTGCCTGGTGGCAAGAAGGGGGAGCATAAAATCTCTCAACACTGATGTGTTTCTGCCCTTAGGGTAATGCTGTATGTCCTAATACGTTAATTTGTACCGAGAGTCCAGGGTAGTGGCAAATGCTACCGTCTATACAAGAGCAAACTTGGTGGGGTATCTAGAGGCTTGCCACAATGATGCCAAGCACTAGAATGTGGTGGTATAGACCCTAATCATGTGCAGCATTGCAACAGGTGTGCTAGTGACAGAGATTTATAACACCAAAGAGAGCGAGAATCCACCTCCTCTTATCTTTTAACAAAAGAAGCAAAACATGGCAATAACCAAGTTCTCCACGGTGCACCCGGTCCTTGGTGTTGCTGGTGAGATTGTCAGCAAGGATCCTGATTAGTCCTGGTTGTGGTGGTGGGTTTGTTAAATGGTATTAGCACCTCTAGGAACTTAACTGGGACCACTTATATCGTTTTAGATTTGCCACCAGATAGCGTTCGGATGGCAGTGGCTTCTGGCTGCTGTCAACCGGGGCTGGATTTGTTCCAGGGACCTTGTGCTAAAAGGCTCCTTGTCCCATTGCCGGGCTCCTGAGCCATTCAGTCACCCCTGTAGATAACTTTTTTCCTATTTGCTTGCTGCTGTTGAATGGTCCAGTTTAGACAAGACTGCCTGGCATGTTTTCAGCTTCGTACTGGGCTGATGGCTGTCACTGCTGCTGCTGTTTTCTCTCTCCCCAGAAGAGGATCCTGGTAGACAGTGGTAATCTTCGTAGCAGCAGCTGTGCCATCTGTGGGAATCACGTGCACCTGGTTCAGCGACACTTGGTCGATGGGAAGCTCTATCATAGGAACTGCTTCAGGTAGAGTTCCAGGGGCGGGGAGGCAGGGTCCACGCCCAGTGAAGGGTCAGCCTGGCCTCTTTCTGGACAGAGAGCCTCCCACAGCTGCTGTGTAGTTCTTCCCTTTGCCCAGCTGCCTGTTAACCTCGGCGACTTGCTGTGTTTCACCTACAGTGAACTTCTGGAGACTAGGATGGCTGCTTCTTGGACAATAGAAAGGCTCTTCAGAGCCGGCTTGGTGGGGTATGCCTGACTTGCAGCATTAGGGAACGTACACTGCTCCTTGTTCAGATGTTACTGGCAGCCTCCTCTTGGGGCCTAGGTTATGACACTGATGTGGTAAAACCATCCATGTCCAGGGGAAGCCCATTGCACTGGCTCACTGTCATCTGTACCTCTGACAGGTGGTGATCTGAGTGGGTCACTCTTATTGGTGTTTATGGGTGTGTATTGCAGCGTGGCATATGGGGGCAGCATGGCACTCACACTGCTCCCTTTGGTAGCAGTCTGGCTTTTACGTGGAGCTCCTTGCACTGATGGCCCTTCCCTGTCCTGTGTGTCCATGTCTCCCCTGCAGTTGGCTGCCGAGTTCATCTCGGTGGCACCCAATTCTCTGGAGAACGTTTCCTAATAGTTTGGAGGTTTTTTTTGTGACTGTCCATAGGTGCAAACAGTGTTCCAACACTCTACAGTCTGGGGCCTACAAAACCGGGACCGAACCTGGTACTTACATCTGTACCAGCCACCAACAGCCAACCAGTCTCTGGAATTCCGGACCACGTAGCATAGAGAACAAACCTACCATGACCTCAGGAGATCCTCAAAAGGTATTGGTGAAATCAAGTCAGTTAAACAAAGGCACCAATTCCACCTCCGATTCCCCCAGCTCCACCATGCCATCCAGGTCACCTGCTGGCAGCAGTTCTAGCTCTGGTCCCAAAAGCCTAAATGCTCCATGGTCCTCGTCAGCTGGGAATAAATCAGATTGCCATGAAGGTACCACTTCACCTTCTTGGACAGCATCAGGAGCAAAAACGCAGCAAGCCCGAAAGAAGGTCTTCGAGTCCAGTGGGGGTACTTCAGAGTCTTTGACAGCCAAATCACCGGCTACTAAAGATCGAGGCCTTCCTCCTCTTCCCTCTCAGGCGGCTAGTAAAACCACCTCTGGCATACGCGTTTCTGGGGCAAACTCAGGCGGCACTGAGAAGGATAAAGCACGTCAACATCTCACGCTGGCTCTTCCTGGATCAAATGCCACTGCAAACAGGCCAGGAGGAGTCCGTTCCAGTGGTTCCCCGCTGCCCAGCAGGTAAGAACCTCTGTCTTTCAATCGTCTATTCCTGTGAAGGAGGGGAAGCTGGGAGAAACAAAGGGAGTAGCTAGAGCAGGTCTCTTTCCATTCTCCCTTTCATCAACTGTGCGGGGCACATGGGAGACAGTCTATTTTTAGGACCCTCAGAGGATCTTTGGAATGGAGGCCAGTAAAGATGACTTTCTCTGTAAAGGCTCACAAGACTCTTCCTGTTTGCTTTGGCAGCTTTTCTCCCACTGTCTCCCCCAGGCAGAGTCCTGATCACAAAATACAGGCCAACAAACCAGGCCATACAAAAAAAACAGAGCATGCGGTCATTGAACCTTCATCCAAAAGTCCAGGAAACAAGGTGGGAGTTTGGGCTGCCACGCAGAATGGAGAGAAGGGCCTGGCCACCCTCAGACCTGCCGACACAGGGCGTAAGCCTGACTGGAAGGACACCAGAGGTGAGAGCGACTTGTTACGCGGTTCTGGGGGCTAGGTTATGGTGTTACACATGTTGTGAATTTCCCCTCTTACCAGAAGTGTGGCTCCTGGGCTCTGCTCTCTGAGATCGAGACAAGAAGTGGACCACCAAGCCTGGCGCTTTCATCTGTACCCGTCACCAACGCACACTCAGCTGTCTGAGCTCTGGGACAGCTAGCACAACATGGATCCATCTGCCCGGGAGAACAGTATCTGTGGTGTCCCTTCGGGGCAAGCCTGTGGAGCAGTCTCACTCATTGAGGAGTCATGTAATAGAATATCAGGGTTGGAAGGGACTTCAGGAGGTCATCGTCCAACCCCCTGCTCAAAGCAGGACCAATCCCCAATTTTTGCCCCAGATCCCTAAATGGCCCCCTCAAGGATTGAACTCACAACTCTGGGTTTAGCAGGCTAATGCTCAAACCACTGAGCTATCCCTCCACCCCCGTCTTGGGGTGTCTTGGGGTTTGAAGTGTCCTAGCTGTCCTACTACACTGGCTTGTGATTTTGTGAGATCTCACAAGTTAGTTGGGCACAGGAGACCTCCCAGGAACCCTTGTGGTGATTTTGCGGTCTAGAAGGTGGCACTCGGTCCTCCAAGTCAGTATTGAACCAGCAACTCAGCATGGTGTCTTAAGCCCAGTTCTGCTGCAGGTGTCGTACTCTGGATGAAACATAAAATTGATATCCTGACCCCTTATGATTGTATGTCTCTCTTTGGAAGAGTTACCTGTATTTTGAGCCTTGTCCTGAGTAATTATATGCCACCTACATATAGTTTCTCCTGAAGTTTCAAGTGAGATACCATATTTTTCACATCCTGCTTTAAGTGGTCAGTTTTGCATTACTGTAGACTGTTAAACAGCTGCCCGAGTTAATCTCCTGTGTGGCTGCATTTCTGCATGGATAAAGAGGTTTCTGTATAGGTTTTGAAGTGCTTTGGGATCCTAGGTGCTATATATGCTGTACAGGTTATTTCTCACCTGTGGGGCATGGGCAGCTGGCGTAGAATGAAGTAGGAACAAGAGCACCAATTTATTCTCCAATTGTGTGGTCTTGTCCTGGGCTCATTTAATCGAAGTAGCCAGCTCAGGGGTTATCATGACCTAAGATCCACAAGGAGCTTGGAATTCCCTTATTCTGGGTCTGCAAAGGGAGGGATCTGGATTGTAGCAGATCAGCTGGTTGGGTCAATTGTAGGTTTCTTTACTTGCTGTTTCTCTTCCAATAGGAGGAGTGAATGCCAATGAAGATAAGTCTGAGAACCCAGCCTCCTGGCGATCCATATTGAAGCCAGTGGCCAACAAGTGAGTGTCCCAGAGCCATCGGTTTTCAGTGGTGAGCGTATGAGAGTGTGGGAATGTCTTAGCTCCGCTGTGCAGTCAGAAGCCTGCATGCGTGAGGGACCCGAACTCTGGCATTAAACTCTTCTGTTTTTAACTCCTTACTGTGACAGAGTGAGGGAATTAGTGAGAAGAGCTGCTTGGCTTCTGCTTTTATGGGCAGGGCTGAGGGAAAGGAGATCTCCTTCCAGCTCACTGCACCTGGAATGGGTGAATCTTCCGTCTTACTGCTTTGAGGGATCTGGGCCCTGTTTCTGTTGGAAGATCACAGACGGTGGAGTCAGGAGCTTTGCTGAAGACCGAATCCCAGCAGATATACGACTTTCTAAGTTGTATCTTTCTCCCTTGCAGAGACTCCAGTCAGGGTGTTCCTAAGAAACCTGTGGACAGCTCCAAGGTGACGAACAACATAGCCCTGAGCCCAGCACAGGGGAAGGAGAAATCACCTTCATCCATTGCCACGCCAACAAATAAGGACACTGGTAAGATGGGTTATAAACATAGTACGGAGGGAGCTTTGCCAACCTTTTCTCCAGCCATCCAGGGCAGTGGCATGATGGGTTGGGAGACACAGCCAGAGTGTGGGATACCAGAAATACAAGGGGAGAATTCAGTCCTTGGCTTCCCCTCCTCCACCCCAGGCTGGCTCCCAATCTTCACTTGGCAGGATCAGCCTCAACTGAGGAGGAGGAGCCAGTCTTCATGTAATCTCTCTTGCTCCTAGCTGGGTGGGAGGGAAGGTTTTGGCTACTGTCTAGTTGTATAATTGCGTGCATGGGAAGATGAGGCCACTTGGCCACTGTCGTCCTCCCTTCATGGTCCCATGGCTTCTTTCATGCTCTGGTGCATCTTTGCTGTGGGTGGTGGGTTTTAATCCGTTTCCGTGGGGGTTATGTCCTTTGCTTTGGAATCACTTCCATGTTGGCCCGAGCGTCCGGGGTTGTAATGCCCTGACTATCTGCAGCCATGGCGCTGGTGAGAGACAATAGTGCAAGGAGCTGGGGCCTGGCAGCAGTTTACAGTAAACCCTCTAGTGCTCTGAAGGAGACCCTCCCAGTGGTCCTGGGATTTACCCTTCAGTCCTCAAGAGCCAGGATCCATCCCTTTCTTTTGCCCTGCTGCACTGTTACTTTTTTCTCCCCTTCCCCATCTTGCTGTCCCTGGGACTGAAAAAATGGAGGAATGCATGGAACACATGAGACCAGGAGGCATGGACGCCTTAGAAATTTGGGTGCTGCTTAAAGTCCACCCGGGGAGAGAAGACAGCTACCAAAACACCCGCCCGTCCGCAGGGAATTGAATCGCACGCACTGTTCTGTGGCTGGTGTGTGAGACTAGCACTCCTAGCTGTCGTCACAGTCAGCACAATGGAGGAGGAAAGGGTGCCCCGTACTGCTGGGAGCTCACTGATCGCTTGCTAGCCCATTCCCTACACCATCAGCAGGGACAGTTTTGACTTGCCATGTCTCCCCCTGCAAGTTCCAGGAAAGGGTGTTAGTCATCCGAATTTGTGATTGATTAGTTGCCGTCTCCGTCTCCACCCTTTGCACATGCCAAGGGATCTGGCTTCTTAGTTGGGGGCGGGTGTTCAAATGTGTCCTGGCTTTTTTTGAAGCGTGTGCTGGGGTGGGGTAGAAGATGGAACGCTTGCGGCCAGTGACGCTGTGGGTTTGTCTTGATTGCAATTGAAGATGTGGTTGTTGACGTGCCCATCAGTGCAGCGTCTGGGACATTATTACATCTACCGTTATTCCGAAGCAAACACTGGGTGTGCACAGCAGAGGAGCCCGACACTGCTTTGTGGGGATCTAGCTGTTGGGGAGAAAAGTTCTATTGTAGAACTGTATGTATCATGGAAACTAGATGGAGGGTAGTTCAGGGGTCTGTAGCTCTTCAGATTGTGAAGAGTGTATCCAGTACTGCTGTTGATCTGGGATGGCATTAGAGCTAAGAGCAGAGGAGGGGATTACCAGTAGGGTTTAGTTGGAGGTTAGAGATGGGGATTGACAGGGACTGGCTCATTTTGCTGGGGGGAGGGTTGAAGCCTGGTGCATTTCACACCCAAACTGGGTCTGTGCTTTTTAATTTAGTTCTGTCTGCTGCGCTGCCTCAAAAGAAGAAACTGATCCCTGACAAGGATCTTCTCAATGACTGGCGAAAATGGGGAGAGCCTCCTGTCCCTGCCAAGGAGAAGGAGTCAAGCCAGTCAAAGCGGGTTTCTGCTCCAGGTAAGAGTCCTTCTCAAGAAAGCCGTTTTCTCCTCTGGGCAGCCTGTCAGCAGTGCTTGCGAGTGAGATACTAATTCCCTGCTGTGTCCAGAGCTCTCTGCTGTCAAGCCTGCCTCCATAGCCTTGTCTTCGCTAGGAAAAAAGCTGTCTCTCTAATGTGTTAGGGAACACAAGCTAGCTAACGTGTTCGAATCTTTTAGCCTGTGGTAGCTGGTTGAGAGAAACCCCAGTTCAAGGATTGACCTCGCTAGCTATCATGCATTAAAACTACAACTGCCCTGTCTTCATTAGGCTTTTAACATATGTCCGCTAGCACCTGTTTAACATACTATTTTTGTCCAGTGTACACGGGCTCACCTGTTTCAGCTTTCATGTCTAGACACACCTTGGTGGCCACTACTCCCACTTCCCAACATGATGCATTTCAGACGCAGAGGTTAAAGCCAGAAAGGACCACCAGATCATCTAGTCTGACCTGCACGTCACAGGCCATTAAAGCCCTCCCATTGAGCCCAATAACCTGAACTGGTCATGCTGCTTCTCCAGGAGATGGCCTTCTGAGCTTACAGAGACTCCGATGATGAATAGCTGCCTTTCAATAGCATACTGACCAGTCTCCGAGATGGCATTGCATAGGCCAATCTACAGGCCTCTGCTCCAGCCAGTTTCTGTATTGTCCTTTCAAAAAGGCAGATGGCATTTTCCTGTACCACCACCTACCGCGCTCCTTTTCCATTGTCCTGAGCTATGAATTAGGGAAGAGGTTCAAACCTCCTTTCTAGAGGCTAGATAAAGAGTCCCTTTAGAGCTTCCAAATTGCTTGGTACAGAGAGCTGACTGGTCACAAATGCTAACTTTATTACCCCTTCGTTAATCGTGTCTGTCTATCCCAGTATTCTAGATCTCCATTCTGTGGTTGATACTAGATAACACTCTCTCCTTTGTTGCAGGTAATGTTTTCTCTTATGATTAGAACACAGGGCTAAGAGTCAGAATACCTGGGTTCTGTTTCCAGCGTTGCCACTAACTCTCTGTGGGCAAAAAGAAAAGGAGTACTTGTGGCACCTTAGAGACTAACCAATTTATTTGAGCATGAGCTTTCGTGAGCTATAGCTCACTTCATCGGATGCATACCGTGGAAACTGCAGCAGACTTTATATACACACAGAGAATATGAAACAATACTGCCCCTCTGCCATTTACATTGGTCAAACTGGACAGTCTCTACGTAAAAGAATAAATGGACACAAATCAGATGTCAAGAATTTTAACATTCATAAACCAGTTGGAGAACACTTCAATCTCTCTGGTCACGCAATCACAGACATGAAGGTCGCTATCTTAAAACAAAAAAACTTCAAATCCAGACTCCAGCGAGAAACTGCTGAATTGGAATTCATTTGCAAATTGGATACTATTAATTTAGGCTTAAATAGAGACTGGGAGTGGCTAAGTCATTATGCAAGGTAGCCTATTTCCCCTTGTTTTTTCCTACCCCCCCCCCCCAGATGTTCTGGTTTAACTTGGATTTAAACTTGGAGAGTGGTCAGTTTGGATGAGCTATTACCAGCAGGAGAGTGAGTTTGTGTGTGTATGGGGGTGGGGGGGTGAGAAAACCTGGATTTGTGCTGGAAATGGCCCAACTTGATGATCACTTTAGATAAGCTATTACCAGCAGGACAGTGGGGTGGGAGGAGGTATTGTTTCATATTCTCTGTGTGTATATAAAGTCTGCTGTAGTTTCCACGGTATGCATCCGATGAAGTGAGCTGTAGCTCACGAAAGCTTATGCTCAAATAAATTGGTTAGTCTCTAAGGTGCCACAAGTACTCCTTTTCTTTTTGTGAATACAGACTAACACGGCTGTTACTCTGATCTCTGTGGGCAGTCATTTAACTTGCCCCTGCCTCAGTCTCCCTGTCTGTAACATGGACATAAACCTTGCATCACAGTCAGACTGTGACCCTGAATGAATGTGCTTTGGGATCCTGGGGTGGAAGTTTTGCCTCCAGCATGTACAATACTATTAGATAGCCAAGCTAATGGGATGCTGTGTCTTCCTGTGACCTGCTGCATGCACTGGCTGCTCTGGCTCCAAGCCCGTAGGCAGAGGTGATTTTGTGGGGCTCTCCTCCCTAATGGGAGGCGCTGCAGAGGCTGCACCAAGGGGGCTGCTTGGGAGATGTTTTTCTCGCTAAGCTAGGTCACCTCATTTGTGGAGCGCCACTGGCAGGCTGCCCACGGCAGGACATTCCCCACAGAAGGAACCTTCATAAAGGGGTGAGTGCCAGGCAGCACACGGGGCCGGGCCCAGAAGGGAAAACCGCCTGACGCAAGGCCGTGTCAGAATGCTGCTCCAGAGTGAGCAGTGGTGCAGAGACAGCAGAGGGTCAGTTACCGCCTCCTTCCCCCCTGACTCCGAAGAAGCAGTAGAACCAGGAAACCCACGCCACTGAGGGTCGGGCTGGGCTGAGAGCTGCCCTCGAGCTCCTCCCTAGCTTGTGGTCTCAGGCCTGTGTGTTTGGGGCTCCAGTAACGGGCTCTGTGACTGCTCTTCGGGGGCCCCCCAGGCTATTTTATTGGGTCTCTTCTGTCAGTCTCCTTGTGCATTTGCCAATCTCGCACTCCTCCCCTGCTCGTGGGCAGGAGGTTTTTTATAGGTCGCTCTGTCTTTCCACCCGCTTGTGCACGCGCTGTCTGGTTAGGTGTTTAGATGTCCCCCAGCACCACAGCGTGTGAGGGCGGAGACGGCAAGACGGCAACTAATCAATCACAAACAAATTTGGATGACTAACGCCCTTTCCTGGAACTTGCAGGGGGAGACGTGGCAAGTCAAAACTGTCCCTGCCGATGGTGTAGGGAATGGGCTAGCAAGCGATCAGTGAGCTCCCAGCAGTACGGGGCACCCTTTCCTACTCCATTGTGCTGACTGTGACAATAGCTAGGAGTGCTAGTCTCATACACCAGCCACAGAACGGTGCGTGCGATTCAATTCCCTGCGGACGGGCGGGTGTTTTGGTAGCTGTCTTCTCTCCTCGGGTGGATTTTAAGCAGCACCCGCATTTCTAAGGCGTCCATGCCTCCTGGTCTCATGTGTTCCATGCAAACCCCCCGCCGCCCTCATGGGGGAGGAGAGTCAGAGCCAGGTCTACAGACTTGGGCTTGTGCTACAAATAGCTCTGTCGATGTTCAGGCCCTGGCTGGTGCCTAGGCTCTGAGGCCCAGGGAGGAGAGTGGCTGAGTGGAGGGAGGGAGAGGGCCCAAGTCTGTAAATCCAGGCTTGGTGTCTTGCTGTGTAAACACACTCCAGTGACTAATCCGAGGTCATGCAACAAATTGAACCCAGGTCTCCTGATGACCAGGTTAATGCCCTAACCACTGGGCCATCTGTCCCATCCTGGTCTCTGCTGCACCTTCCTTGTGAGTGCACTGATCCGAGCTTTGCTTTCTTTGCTAAAGGCCAGTAAGATGAAGTGAGCTGTAGCTCACGAAAGCTCATGCTCAAATAAATTGGTTAGTCTCTAAGGTGCCACAAGTACTCCTTTTCTTTTTGCGAATACAGACTAACACGGCTGTTCCTCTGAAACCTAAGATGGGTACAGTGACACTTGCACGGCAAGAGTCCAATATTTCTGACCAGCCCTTTGTTAATTCTTTGTCACTATAAATATTCTGGGAACTATACAAGGCGGAGGGAAAATTTGTTTTGGTTTTGCTCAGAACCGAGCTTGGCATTCATTCCAGTGCAGGGCTTTTATAACCCCCCACTCCGGGCCAGGGCTGTCCTGGGCCCCTTTAGAACCACGTCAGGTTTAGCTCTAGAGGACTGGGTGTCTACTGGCTACCGAGGGAGTGTGCTGCAGTGTACGATGATTTGACGGACTGAGAGCAGGGAATTAGTACAGGGCTCGTGGATTCCAGCGCAGGGAAACTCGTGGATTCCAGCGCAGGGATCCCAGTAGGGTATGGACAGTAGCAAGAAGCGGCTTGTTGCACTGTCTGGCTGAAGTGAGTGTGTGTCGTTGCTGCCCTCTGTTGGATGGAACTGGATCTGCTCCTGTCTCGGATCGTCTGTAGCTGTCTGCAGCATTGCTATAGCTGTGTTGGTCCCAGGATAAGAGACGCAAGGTAGGTGAGTTAATATCTTTTACTGGACAGACAGAAGTGAGTCCAATAAAAAGTAAAAAGAAAAGGAGTACTTGTGGCACCTTAGAGACTAACCAATTTATTTGAGCATGAGCTTTTGTGAGCTACAGCTCACTTCATCTCACGAAAGCTCATGCTCAAATAAATTGGTTAGTCTCTAAGGTGCCATAAGTACTCCTTTTCTTTTTGCGAATACAGACTAACATGGCTGTTACTCTGAAACTTGTCAATAAAAGGTATGATCTCACCTACCTTGTCTCTCTCTGACTATCTAATCACCTAGTGGCTGCTCTACAGAGGTGATATCGTGTGTGTGTGTTTGTGTTTTTTTAATTTCTAGTTAAACCGCCAGCTCCAAAAATCTTCCAGAGCCTTGTGAGCGATGAAGTGGCATCCCCGACCAAGGTATGGTGGAGTGGCAAAACAAGGCTATTATAATGATCCTTCCCCAGAGACTGCCCTTATGGTTCAGTTCAGTCTGGGGCCCCCTCCTTTTCACTGCTGATCTTACGGCTGAGATCTTCTTGCACCGGCTGGGTTATAGATGAGGTGAAGGGGCTGCATCATGACTGGTAGATGCTACTGCTGGTGATGGCTGTGCCGTGCTGATCTATGTGACTTCTTAGCATGGCCCATTGTGTTGCCAATTACCAGCTCCACATCTTCTCTGATTTTGGTGCCTCCAGGATGTGGTCCCAGAGGGAGATGGTCCATTCCAGCCTGTCTCCTTTTGTTGTTTTCCTGCTCCACCCAGGCTGATGGGTGGCATGCGGGAAGCAGGTAGTATTAGTTTCTAGCCTCCTGTGACTTTGTCCCTCAGCTCCAAGAAGACTACATCCCTGAGGAAGAAATCCAGGAGAAGGTGCGAAAGATCGAAAAGCAGCTGGATGAGCTGGAGCTCAAGGGAGTTGATATGGAGAAGCATCTGCGTGACTGTGAGGGAGGTAAGGGAGGCCAGAGAGACCATCTCAGCTAGAGTTGGGAGGGATGAGTCTAGAGTCCCATGGTCAGTGTCCTATCTACAGATGCATTTGGGCTGGTGGCTTTGATCCTAGTAGCTCAAGCAGTGTGTAGGACCCTTGAGATGGCTTAAATGTAAGGCCAGATAAAACCCTGGGATGAAGAAATTCCAACTGGCTCTGTCCATTTCCTGGCACGCTGTTTCAGGAACTTGCTGCTCTATTGCCAAGTGACCGAAGGTTAGTGAAGTTCAGGAACTGAAAGGCTGCTCCTGACCTGTCTTAGGGAATCCAGATTGGACTGTCTGTCATGGACTTTGCCCAGGGCCATCCCTGTTGTCAGAATACTTGATAAGCTTGTTCAGGTTGGCACAGAGGGGCAGATTGCATGGAAGGTGAAGTGAGCAGCCTATGAGGAGAGTCCTTGGCCAGTTTACTTGCATCTGCCCGTGATGCTCACTGTCTATAGCTTGAGTAACAGGAGCAATCTGTGATGGGAACAATACATAACCAACTATCTGAGTCTACTTGTGACTAGCGTAGGTTATCTGGAGCTGTCCTAGGTAGACGGTCCCTGATGACTCTTGTAGTCAGTGCATTGGGAGTGGACGTACTGTTTGTCTCATCTGCAGATGATTCAGAGGATGCTCTCATGGTGGATTGGTTCAAACTGATCCACGAGAAACAGCTGCTGCTGAGACTGGAGTCAGAGCTGATGTACAAGTGAGTACAACCAGAAAGCTGGGCAGTCTGCCCTGCCCATAGACAGTGAGCTGACCCCGGCAGTGTTGGGGGCTGGAGAATGAGACTTATTGGGGGAGGGGGAGAGACAAGGAAGGCTTGAAGGAATCTCTTGTATATCTGCCAGCAGCTGGGGGTACTAGCTGATGGGGCATCACTACAGTAGAAGCAATCCGTACTATACTGGGGTGCTGTGAGGCAGAGCTCGCTCACAGGTGGGGCGGGTTGATGCCCCCCCCCCCAGCCCCATGTCTGGGTGTTAGGAGAGAGAGCGCTTATCTGAGTGCCGTGGGACAGCCCAGGAGCCCCCTCGCCCTGGCTGGGTCCTCTCCTGAGTCCTGCCGGATAGTTTGGAGAGCAGCCTCCAGCTCCAAAGCCACGTGTGAGAGTCCTGCTTCGGGGTGAGGCAGGAGAATCACCTATTGCCTCTCTGGGATCTTGCAGATCGAAACAGCAGAAGCTGGAGGAGAAGCAGTGGAATATTGAGAGCGAGCTGCGGCGCCTAATGGACAAACCAGGTAAGCGAGGCAGTCCCAGCAAGGCTGCCATCCCCCACGTGAGCAGCTCTGTGCCAGCCCTTGTCTCTGCATCTTGCTGGGATTCTACTCTGCAGAAAGAACAGGAGGACTTGTGGCACCTTAGAGACTAACACTTCTATTAGTGCACAGACTTTTGTGGGCTACAGCCCACTTCATCGGATGCATAGAATGGAACATATAGTAAGAAAATATATATATAAAAGGCGGAAGTTGCCATACAAACTGTAAGAGGCTAATTAATGAAGATGAGCAAGGCTGTCAGGGCCTCCTGACCTCCCCTCCATGTAACCCAGCCCAGGGGGGAGAGCAGTGCCTCTGGGGGAGGGGACCAGGGGGTTTGTGAGGAACCTATTGCTTTTGTAGGTAGGCCTGTGTCTTGCTTGTAGCACAGAGGCCGGGTGTCTGGCACAACAAGCATGCAAGTAACGTAGCGCTGGCTCCGTGGACCGAGCCGGAGTAGCATGGCTGTGACCGATTTCCCCTTGTGTTGCACAGAGGAGCAGAAGACCTACATGGAGAAGAAGCGGGAGAAGGAGCTGCTGGACTCCTACTTGAACACCGTCAATGACAGAAACGATATCGTGGAATGTCTGGATGAGGACAGACTCAGGTACAGGACCCCAGGGCAGTGGGGAGAGGGGAGGGCAAGACAGAGGCTGCTTGTATCCCACCGCTCCTCGTTCCAGGACAAATAGGATCTGAAGGTTAGAAAGTGTCAGGTTTGAGGCTGCGTAGTTCCCCCTCTGCCATGTCCCTTTCCAGTGTGGCGCAGGAGGGGAAAGGAATGGGGCAGTGAACAGAACGGAAGCTGTCGGTAGCGAGGGATGGAGGAAAGGGAGAGACAGGAGCAGTGTGCCATGGAAGGATTGGGGGGATGGGATAGGGAGCTGAGAAGTTGGGAAGCCTTCTCCAGGGCATGAGCCTGGGAACCCTCCATTTACTGTATGAGCCAAGAGCATGGATCACGCTGTAAAGTTTAGCTTGGGAGCTGGATGATCCCAGAGCTGGGGAGGGACACGGGGGGGGGGGGGGGGGGGGGGGCTGGGTTTTTTGTGCCCATCTCTATTAAGAACAGCCCCCATGTCTCCCTTGGCAAAGCTTGGGATTCTAGGGGGTCCTCTTAACTTGCGGCCTGGCCTCCCCAGGAGCCCTTGGTGGAGCCAGACCCTGTAACTCTCACTCAGTTGTCTCGCCTTGATCTGTAATTTATGCCACTGACACCTCACCAATAGGACAACGGGCCCACGAGTCTCCTCTACAGAGACCTCCGCCTCAGAACATGCTGAGTCTGGATGATCTAGCCCCCCGGCCATGCTCGCATTCCCCGCCCTGCCCCCCCCCCCAGCACCTGACTGGGAGCTGCAGGATCCTGAACCCTTTGTGCTGGTGCAGATTTGCAGGGCTGCTGGTGGGGGGTGTTAATAACTGGGGCACCTCCATCTCTGGGCTGCGGAGGGGGCAGGGAGAAGATTTTTCGGGGGAGCGGGGGTTTCAAATACCCTGACCTCCGCCCCCAACCGGCAGCTGGCTGGGAGCAGCGGGGGCTTTCCCTGGAACTTTAGAGCGACAGGTTAAAATGCTGTAGCCAGATGTTTTTGCTCTGGCAAGTTCAGAGTGGTTTCGAGCAGCGCCACGGTGGAGTGGGAAGGAAACCGAATCTTCTGGGGGAAAGGGGGAAAGGGCTGTTCTGGGGGAGGATAGAGGAAGAGCATCTCCCGTGAGCTTTCTGAGCACCCCTCGAGCAGGTGCCTGATGGAGGCTGGGTTGTGGGCAGATGCTGGAGCTGACGGGAGCCCCGCTCTGCGTGGAGAAGCTGCTTTGTGTAGGCCCTGCCACCTACCCACTACCACCTGTGGCTGGTGGTTGGCTGTGAAGTGCTGGCTTGCTGCATGGCTCTCTGCCTGGAGCGCCCCCCTCTCCTGCACAAGGGAAGGGCCGAGAGGTTAATCTGGTGCTTGTCTTGCTGGCTTTAATATTTCCGTGTGCACTCCTTTGCAGCCATGTCTCCTGCTGCGCTCCACATGCAGACTGGAGGCCCTGTCTGCTCTCTGCTTGGCCAAGGGGCCCTCGGGAGTGTTACCAGCTTCCTCTGCCGCCCAGAGCTCGCAGACACATGGGACCTGGGCAATCACAGAACTGCCCGTTTCTGTCTGCTTGCTGCTCCCTACAAGGGTGTCTCCCCCTGTCAGGTGGAGTGGCAATGTAGAGCACACTCTAGGGGGCACGCAAGGGCAAGCAATGGAGAGGGCACTCATCTGGGGGTGTCACCCCTGGCCTACAGTGGCAGAGCAGAGGAGCAGCCCTCAGTGGCTTGCTCTGGAGTTTTCCCTGTCCCGCTGGGAGTGCGGGGTACTGGCTCACTGCATTCCTGGTGCCTGTCTCTAACACAGTCCTCTTCCTTCCCAGAGAGCTAGAGGAGGATCAGATGCTGGCAGACATGCTCCAGAAGCTGGGTAAGGGCGCTCTCTGTTGTAACTGACCAGCTCTGTGCTTCAGTAAGGACCAGGACCTCATGCTCTGTGCTCTCTCTTTTCCCGCAGATGCATCTCCAGAGAGCCAGGAGCCCAACAAGAGGAAAAACAAGTTCCGCTGGTCCAAAATATGGAAGCAGAAAAGCAAGAAGAAAGCACAGCAGTGAAGTTCCCTGCATGGCAGTGTGGAGCGCCATGGCATCCAGGAGATGGTCCCTCCCCAGCGCTGCTTCTCTGGAGTCAGACAGTGCTCCTCTGCCCTGAGAGAAGGGGATTCAGGGCATGAGGACTGCTAGGGCAGTGTGATTCCCCTCTCCTCCTAGAAGGAGCTCGAGGTGTTACCCACCCAGCTGAGTGAGAGCTGCAGCCTCTGCCAGGAGACTGGGACTTGGGAACTCTTGCTTGAATTCTGCGCTGTGCCTTGCACTGAGCCAGCACTGGCCTGGCTCCCACTCCGCTGAGTAGAGCTGATTTTCTCCCTGGCTGCTAGCTCGCTGGCTCTCTGGTCACACTAGTTCTGATGCCCCCTGACCACCCCCTGCCACTGAATGGGCATGTGAAGGGGGAGCTGTTCCGCACCCTCCCTTCCAGCGTACGTTTGCTCCACGAACATTTGGAAGCTCGAAGGGTGTCTACGTTGCAGTAAAACACCTGTCGTTGGCCCGTGTCAGCTGACGCGGGCTCATGGGCTATAAAACTCCAGTGTAGATGTTCAGGCTTGGACTGGCGCCCAGGCTCTGAAACCGCATGATGGGGGAGGGTCCCAGAGCCTGAATGTCAACACTGCAATTTTATAGCCCTGCAATCCTGAGTCAGCTGCCACAGGCCAGCCATGGGTCTTATTGCAGTGCAGACCTGCCCTGCGGAGCCAGGAGTCGCCATGGGCCCCCAGGGACGGAGGACCTCTCAGCATCAGGAGCTGCAGGCCCCAGCATGAACAGACTAGGAAGGGAGGGCGGGCACAGAGCTGGGGACCTGGCTCGCATGGGGAGAAGGTTAGGGACGGGAAGGCCCTCGCTGGGCTCTGAGGAGAGAGGCTGCTGCAGGACATTCAGCAGCACTTCGGCTTTCCAAACCACAGGGTGCTTGTCTGTCTGGGCCAGGCATCTCCATGACATGACATTCCTTGCTGCCCTCCGCAGGAAGGGGCAGGACTGTGCTTGCTGTCCTGGAGACTGGGCTGGAAAGTGGAGCTCTCGCTGCCTATGGCCCGTCACTCTGAAGGTGGCAGCAGAACCTCTTGCAATGAGCTGGTAACTCAGGAGCCCATGTGCACGATGGGGGTGAGCCGCCCACCCCTCCCCCAGCCACATTCTCTTAGTGGGGTAAACAGTCGTCTGCTGAGGCTCTTTTAATGGTGAGCCAGCTGCTCCCCGGGGTCCAAGTCTGCTGCAGTCAGGCTGGGATGGAGAAGGCAGCCGAGGAGGGAGGTCTTTGCTGAGCTGAAGGAGTCTCAAGTGAAGGCCTCTCTCCTCACCCCTCCTCTCTGCACATACAGGAAAGGACTGTAGCCATGCGTCTGATCCGACATGCATACACACCTGGCCTACAGCTCTGTCACTCAGGGCGCTGGGCACCGTGGAGGAAGACGGGGAGGAGGGATTACAAATCTTAATTTGATCCCCAATAGCACTTAGAATCTCCCTGCGTTTATTCCCCTGCTCCATCACAATGGATCTCCTTAGGATGCTCTGCTCCTGCATCAAAGAGAGACTTTCTCATTGGAAGGTGGTCACCGCCACGCTCTCAGGATGGAAGTCTGCGGCTTGATACCTGTGCCTCGAAGTATGGTGGCGTAATGTTCTCCATCTCCACCAGGTGGCAGTCTGGTCCTCTGACCAGGTTGCTTTGCCCAGGGCGGTGAACAGCTGATTTGCTCAGGAAGTACTAATGCTTTTCCTGTACAGTGTGTGCTGTATCTGTATAGTCAGCGCCGGCATTTGGGGATTCACTTTATATTTGCATACGTTTCTATTCAATAAATAATAAAATTTTAGAGGAAAACCTGGAGCCCTGTGATGTGAGTGTGGTGGAGCTGCAGGACATGGGACTACATCCGTATCAGCCAGGACTGGATAGCCTGTGATGATTAAACTTGGCCCTCCTCCCGGGATGGGGGTACAGTGTGCTGGCGGGGGATCGAGAAGGGAAAGCTAGCCCTTGCCTCTCTTTTGTGCAGAGAGGGTTCCCTCCTCCTAGCACCTTTCATAGGCACTAGGGTAACTTGAAACGGGAGGGGGTGGAGAAGAGCTGTTTTGATGCACATGAAACTAAAGCGATGGTCTGAAATTCACGCTGATCTTAGGAACAAGTGGGCGAGAAGGTAGTGCCTGTGAGACCTTTGCTCTTCAGGAATCAGCCAGTCCACTTAGTGAAATTGTACATCGCCCAACACAGCCTTTATAGTAACTCACTCCTCTTGTCAGGGCTGGAGCGTGTTTTGCTGCTCTTTCATAATCGGGGGTGAGCACATCTCTGTAGCCTTCATTCCTCACTGACTTGATTTACAAGTCACCGTCTCCCTCTTCTCCACCCCTAGACTGAAAGCTACACCTGCTTTCTTGCTACTTCTCCCATTATCCCCAAACCCAAGCTCTGGGAAACCAGACTGTAGCTGGTGCTTTGGCTGATGGAGCATGAGGCAAAATTGGATCCAACTTGTTTGACCAGAGATGTATTATGTCTGTTGTAACCACAGTAGCCAAATGATGGTTACATCAAACGAAGCAGATCTGGTAAATGCAACCCTGTAGGTCCATTTCTAGCCATGTATCTTGCCCTGTAGCCTGTGTTTCCACAGAAGCGATTCATTTTATCTCCTGCTAACTGCAGGGGCTTGAAGGGTTCACCTAGAAAAGTGCTGTAATTCTCTTTCCTGGAGAATGAAAGTTGCTTGTGTGAATACTCCTTCAATAATAGGATGGAAGGCTGGTGCTGGGGTTAGGAGACAGCCCTAGGAGCACAGTAAGGCACAAGAATTCCAACAGCTTGCCCCCAGCTGTGACTTTTGTCCCACTATCCAAAGATCCTGTGCTCCACGGTACAGCCTGTGGCTCTGACCTGGCAAAGAACTAGGCACGTACTTTACAAGGGTGAATAGTGCCAGTGTTTAATGGTTCCAAGTAGGCTCACCGCATAAAATTAAGCATCTGCCTAAGTCTTTGTAGGGCTGAGGCCTGTGCAAGCCCCAGAAAGGAGAGTTAGAGAGAGAAGGTAGGAGAGGTAATATCTTTTATTGGACGGGCTTCTGTTGGTGAAAGAGAGAAGGTTTCATTCACACCTAGCTATACTGGAGGATAGAAATACCCCAGCTGCTGGCATGGACTTACCTGCTCCACTCCTACTGAGCTATAGCTCCTGGTCAGCTTTTGCCCTCTGCAAATCATCAATTAAATTCAAAAATCATTTGGTCTGTTCCTGCACAGCCGCAGGGGATTGATGGCCCAAGAGTCCAACGTTGGAACAGACTTCATGAACCCAGGTAATAGGGGGGGCCACCTCCACCCCTCGCTGGGTGGAATTTTATCCTGGATATTACAAGCCACCTGGAGAATGGCATTCGCTGGAATGTCTGGTGGCCTTCTTGCGACATGTCCAAAAGGCCCCAGTAGTGTGTAGACCGGAGCGACCATAAACATCTGCATTACAGATGAAGTTGTTCCACTTTATGCCCAATATACAACATTGGCATTTTGTGTGGCAAGGCTCCAGCTTTGCCCAGACTCAGTGGTGTAGTGTCCCTGTTTCGCTGTTTACAATATTATGGGGAGGATACAGCTGCTGTTTCTACATCGGTTTGTTATACGTTCGGTCACAGACAGCCCAGGTTGGCCTCCCCCTGGGTGGACTCTCTCCAGGCGCTTGTGTTTGGGGCCCACCTTGGGTGCTTTAAATTTGCAGGCTCTCGACAGGATCCAGGCACGGGCCCTGGCTTGGGGTTTCTCAGTAGATCCTTTGTCTAGCACCCCATCCTGAGTACTGACACCCTGTGGTCCAACTCCCTAGCCCCTGGGATGAGTGTTGACCCCTCAAGTTCCCCCCATAGCCATGTGAGCATTCTGTGCTTACAGGCCACCTCTTGAGGGGAATGTGAGAGTGAAGCAAACCGAGTGACTTTGCACAGGATTGTAAGCACAGTTACACTTTACCAATTGCCAGAAATACATAGATCTAGTCAAAATATTAAACACACCCGTACGTGTTTCCCTGCCTCAGTTTCCTCAACACTCTGGAGAGTTCTTTGTGTTTAGGTCAGAGTATTGTGGTGTGTCCAGGATCCCCCGCACCCTCCCTGTGCACATGGCTTCTCTCCAGAATCATGGAGTCTCTCACTCTGGCCTCTGCAGGCAGTGCCCTTTCACTCCCCTGCCCGAAGCTGCCTGGACTGGATACTGCACCAGAGCAGAGGCCGGATTCCGGATGTGATCTGCCATGCCGGATTCAGTCTCCAGCACCCAGTGTTCTAGCAATGGTCCTACTCTATCTACACCACATACCTAGCTGGATGCTCCAGGGCTCGGCTGAATAGGGCAGGCACCAATGGGCCATCCTGTCTATGTTTCTCTGAAGCATGGTATGGCAGGAGGGACATACAGACCCCTGCTTTTACCCCAGTGGCAGTTACAGAAGCAGGTGAAAAGACTGGCTGCATGGAATTCCAGATCATCAAACAGCTGGTCCCAAAGCTAGTTCCTGTAGGACTGCTGGCACGTGTCCATTCTACTCTGGGGCTAGTGAGCAGCTCTTCCACTGGGCACAGATGTTCTTTGCTTTCCCGACCGTAGATGCTGGAGCCTTCGTTTCGATAACAAAGGGGTGGGGGAATAGGCAGGGCGTGAGTACGGCTGCCCGTGGCACTGCCTGACCTATCTGCATCTTGTGAGAGCTACGATGCGTGGTTTCAGAGAACAGTGGGGGAGACCCAGGTACCAGCCCGTGGGCTGATCCTGCAGACTCCCTTGCATATTTTTACCTTCAAGCCCCTGCACGGCCTCCTGGAGCTCCACAATGCCGCGGGAGCAGGGCCCTCATTTGTGTGCAGTACAGAGCCAGGGCCCTTGTCGGGTCCGGCCAGAATCAGGCACGCTTCTGCTGCTCTACAACTAACTTTACATCGGCCAAAGGCGAGTGGGGAAACTTTGCCTGTGTTTGAAGTAGTGATTCAGCTAGGGCAGGCCGCATTAAAACAGACTCATGCAATCTAGCTGTCTATCATCCCCAGCGGTGACTGGCCAGGCCCTGCTAACGCACACTCCTGCAGTTTTACATTTTAAAAACAGGAGAGTTAGAGTGATTCCTCTTCCTACCTTGCAGGGCCTGAGTTCAGGGCTTAGCAGGTCCCCTGCTCTGATTAACCAAGAGCTGAGCTCCAGCCCCAGGAAAACCAAACAACAGGCGAAGGTGAAAAAAGGACACAGCTTTATTCCAGTTAGAAGCTTATGCTGAGAAAATCCTAGGGGTGAACCCTGTGGGCCTGTCTGATGGGAGCAGTTCTACTGTCTGCAATAGAACTGTGCGTGGGAATAAAGTGAGCAGGATACGACCTCAGGACTGCTGGTGCAAGGTAGGGGAGGGGAATTTCTACCCTCCCGCGACTCCCTGCCCACAGCTCTCACCCCCTAAATGATGATGTAACCCAACATCCCCTCCTATCATCTGCTGCAAAGCAAGTTACCCTTTAGTTCTCTCTTGTGAATCACTAGAAGGGTGAGGAGAAACTTCCTGCAAACTCTGTTCCACTTAGTGTCTATGATACCTACCACCAAGCACAGAGCTCTGAGCTCAGACATTGGCTTATAAGGGAGAGGCAGTCTGAAATACTTCAGAGAGAGAGAATGTGTGCGGACACGTACACGTCCATTTCCTCCCAGAGCCCATGATGGGGATGGGGGAGGGGAAAGGTTAATTTTTTTTTTGAAGTTTTGCGGCTATTTCAGGAGCTGATTTGAACTCGTTTCCTGTGGGCTCCTGCTGAGGTGTGTTGCCATCTTGATTCACATGTAACCAGGGTGCAGCAGCTCGTTTTCCCGTAGCTAGATGTAAAGGGGAACACGGGCAGTGCTGTTCTGCACCCCTTATTTGCTGGGCCCCGCACTGGGTGTGTGACTCCAGTAGGCTCAGGACAGGAATTCTGGAGGGGAGGTGTGGGGCTGACAGCCCATTCTAGCCAATCAGGACTTAGAGATGGAGCCCTCACTTCCCTACAGTCTGTCTCCTCTCCCCCACCCCTCCCGGCAGGTTTCTTTAATTACAATCTCAGAGGTAATTTTTGACGGATCATTAACGGTTCAGAGTAAACAAGGGGAATTCTCTGAATTATTCGCCATGAGCACAAAGGGAAATTGACTTTCATCTTCCCCCTGTTCTTCCAGTGAAGATCTGGGATCAAAGCCACATGGAAGGAGGGAGCCCGCTGGCTGTTGTCTTGCACCCTGAATCAGCTTGAGATGGAGAAGCAGAGCACTCCAGTTTATCTTGCTGTTACCCAGCAGAGGCAGGACCTCAACAAGGAGATCCCCTCTCTTTTTATGTTGGTGGCAGGGGCCTGTTACACAACTGGGATCAACCTGGGGGAAGAATCTCACATACACGGGGCCTGAGCAATACACCAGAACCTTCTCCCGTACCCCTTAGATCTGGGGTGCGATCTCTCCCAGAAAGCCATGTGAAGGATGAGGGACTCATCTCCATTCACACACACGTGCTTTCTCTTCACCATCAGCAAGTAGGGACACCGAATCACTGGAGAAACCAGCTTCACTTTTGAGCGTATTGTTGGCCAGGAGCACTTTGGTCCTGAAGGCTAAACCCAGAGTCCAGCACCAAGTGTAAGGAGGGGGGAGTGCGATGTTCCTGTGATGGGGGATCAGGACCTGAGAGCTGGGTCCATTCTAAATGCCAGGCCATTGCTCTTCAGGAATATTCTGGTGTCAGGGAGACTGACTCTACCAAGGACTCTTTGCCAGGGGAATCACCCCAACCATCCTCTCTATGGGAAGGTGGAA